CTCTCAAAGTGTGGTGCAGCAGGGGAAAGCCACAGAGCGCGAATGGCTGGGGCGCATGTGCTCAACGGTCGACTCGGCGTGGGAGGTGAACCGTTGTCGGCTGGCAAGCCTTGCCTTGACAAAGGGGTGGGCCCGGCGTGTGGGTGGGGACGCAAAAAGTAGGTCGTCGCTGGTCTGTGTGATTGGACTGCTGCGTGGTGCACCAAGTGACGCAGAAGAGTGGGCCAATGGGTCGGGAGGCTGGGAAGAGCCGCAGTTGTTGCTTGCCACTTCTTGGTACGCGCGCATGCGTAGAGAGAGGGAGGCGAAAGAGAGGACACGAGAAAGGGCGAAAGCAAAGGGACCAAAGGGGAGCTTCGTTGGCAGGTCAAGCCCGTTGGGCAGCAAGGAGCTGGGGCTTTGATTGGGGGCTGGGGCGGAGGGATGAGTAGAACGGGGGCAAGGTGGTTCATGGCCATGCTGAGGGTTGATGAGGTAGCCAGGCGCGTTGTGTGGACGACGGCGCCGAGAACTGGGCAACACCGTCATGATGCCAACGCAACGGGGCGGGACGAGCTGGGCGGAAAGAGAAGGCTCAAGGTGATGCTTCAGCCAAAACGCCATGTGTAAGCATTAGCAAGCGGGGTCGGGGGATCAAGTCTGACGACGGCCGTTGCCCAGGCTCCAGCCCATTACCCGGGCAACGCGACCAGCGAGCGCGCCACGAGCGGTTGTTGAGCGGAGACCGTGGTCACTCTGTGTGTGTATGTGAAAAGCGCTGGATGAGCTCCCGACACAGACGAAGCAGGCGCCAACGCCCCCTCTCCTCGTCCTCGGATCACCATCTCGCCACGATCCATCATCTTCTGGATCCAAGAGCACACACTGCGCGCGATTTTTTTTTTTTTTTTTTTTTTTTTTTTTTTTTNTTTGGCGCTGAATGGTCGCGGGGTGGCGGAAGAGAAGGAAAGAAATGGGAGGCAGGATGGAGAGAGACGGTGGTAGGGCTGGATGTTGGTTGTTGGAAAAGTCAAGCTGAAACCAGAGGTATGGCAGTGTGGATGAATTCATGGCAGAGAAGGAGGTCTCTTTTTTTGATGACACATTCCAATGAGAGAGGAGGGAGACTTGAGAGACTGGGGGACTGAGGGAGACTGGGGGACTGAGGGAGACTGAGAGACTGGGAGACTGAGAGACTGAGAGACCGAGAGACTGAAGAGGTCAAACGACCATCGAGAGCGGGCATGCACTTGAATGTTCAACGCATTCTCAAACCTCTTGAAGAAGGAGAGCGCGGCACGGGTAGCTCAAAAGTACCACAAGTGGTAAAAAGATTGCCCAACCTCAAAACGCCATCAGCCAAAAATAGACGCTTGGTTGATTATTTGCGTGCGTACATGCACCGCTACTGACAGATACTGCATACATGCACGCATTATTGGTTCAGACGCGCGCGCCCCCCGCGCGTGTGGTTCCACAGTCTTCCAACAAGATGGCCGTTAACATGACCTTGTGTGCAAAGCAGACCAGAACGAGCGGCTCGTCAATCAAACGCGCCCCGCCCCTTGACGTGTGATGCCCAGAATCTGCCTCGTGCGCGGCTCGCAGCCCTTTTTTTTTTTCTCGTTGACGTGGTGGGCTCAAGCCACTTCCAATCGAGGGTGACGACCAACCACCCAGTTGAGATCGGATTGACATTTCCAAAAGTGTCCCTGCCCCCCTCCCGCATCGCAACCTGTTGTGCCGCCAAAATACCGCACACCACCGCCTCGCCTGTACAGGACACCATCACACAGCCAGCACCAATCGAAACACTCTGGTGAGCGCTGCCTCCTTCCCTCTATGGCTTTTGTGTCGCCATGAGTGCACCGTTGTCTCACCGATCCGACCCATGCCTATTCGTATCATGTCCCCGAATGATAGAAGCAGGGTTTCAACCAGACCATCTCATCAAGCGCGGCTCCCCACCTCGCAGGTATCGACTGCCTTTTTGCCACGGTCGCTCCTCAGCCTGATGACCTGCCGATGCCCCAATCACTTGGCCAACTTCAGACGCTCGCAGTCTTCTCAAAATCGCCCCCTTTATCCTTTGTATTTTTTATCTTCCCCCTCTCGAATCGAGAATAGCTTTCGGGGTGATCAATTTCGGCAGCCCCAGATCACTCGCCGTTGCCCCGTGGCGGCCCTCTTTGCTTCTTGGTAGAATACCAGCATTCCCTTGCCTGCCCGTGCCCGGGCCTGCGCGAAAAGTTTTTAGCCAACCCACGCCACCACCTCTTTTTTTTTTTCCTTGCCCGAAGCATTATCAGACTCCCGCCACTACCATGGCCCCAGCAGCCCTTTTTTTAAAAGCCCTGCTGCTCTGGGCCGTGCTCTCCCTGGCTGGTGGCTTGTGGATTCCACGGCACCTGCCCACCCATCATGATGACCTCGCAGAAAGCTCAGCCCGTGACCGCCGAAGGTACACCGGCCCTGTGGCGATACTTTGCAGCTCCTTGCCTTTTGATATCTCTCTCTCCCCATTTAGCTCTTTTCCCGCTCCTCACAGCCGTGCAACTCCCACTCATCCTCCCCTGTCCGCTCTCTCTCTGCTGTCTCGGTTGTTTGCGATCCATGTCAATAGCACGGACAGTATCATTGCCAACAACAATTTTGACGAGGGTTCCACAGGGTCCGTTGTTCCCAGTTGGGACCAAGTCGTCCCGGCAGATGGTTCGTTCTCCTACGTCATTTCATCCACCAACCAGCACTTGAACGGCTCGGTGCGCTTTTCCAGCTCTAACACCAACCGAGGCTACCTTTCTCAAACCCTCGGCATTCAGTGGCAGCCGGGCCGTCAGTACAACCTGACAGCATACCTCTTTGATGCTGATGGTGCGGACCTGGGTGACGCCATTGAACTTCGTCTCAAGGGC